CACAAGGCAGAAGGAAGGACACGCATGTAGAGATTTGGCTCTGCGTTGGTAAGGCTGTGTGCTCGGCCACTCCCCATGTCCCTTCATCACCATGCCCCTCAGGTCCCTCCCCTGGAAAAGAGGACTTGGCTGGGGGGGCTGAGCGTCCATTGAGCGACCCTGGCCCAGGGGACCTCAGCAGGCGAGGTAGCGGGGGTGCAGTGGCGGAATTCTCACCTTCCACCCAGGTGACCCTGGGTCGGCTCCCAGCTACCACCCGTCCAAGGATAAGGTGTCGCTATGGTGCTGAACAGGTGTCAGCGCCACTTCCAGCCTAAGAGGGGCTAGGAAGAAAAGCCTGGTGACCTGCTCCCGAGAATCTGCAAGGGGACAACCCCAGAGTCCACAGAGGGCCAATCCGAAAGCCACCGTGGGGCTGGCACAGCACCAGGCCGCATTTCATCCTGTGACACCCGGGTCACCAGGAGTCAGGGCCAACTCGATGGCATCTACCAGGAGGACCTCAGCAAGGCATTAGTCTAACAGTGCTGTTTACTGTCCGCATGATAACCCCACAAGGGAGGGACCACGAGTCCTCTCTCAGGAGCAGTCAGTGAGGTTCAGAGAGCATAGGGCTCTGTCCTGAGTCTCTTGGGGAGTCCACTCCGGTTCTCTTGCCCCAAAGCCTCCTTGCAGCTGGCCTAGGCTCTGAGGAACTGACAAGCAAGTCATTGAGCCTGTGGGACCTGCCCCCACAGCTGAGCAGAGGGGAGCGCTGAAATAGAACTGCCTCCCCGACAGGCTGCACTCCTCCACAGGAAGCTGAGTCACCCTCTGTTGTGAGCCATGCCATTGAGCTGCCACACGCAGTGAAGCCAAATAGAACCCCGATCCCAGAGCTGATTTGAGGGTTCAGGGTCCCCTCCCTTGCTCCACTCTAGGAGGGGCTGAGCAGAGAGGGGCCATAGACCTGGGACCTCCCATCTCACCCCCAGATTGAGCACAATGCAAAATAAAGGGCACTGAATCTGGAGTCGCACCCACCGGGCTCACCTTCCAGTCTGCCAGGTGGGCGCCTCTGCACAGGCTTCACCTGCCCCAAGGGGCTGATGCACTCACGGTGAAGGGACTCACGGTTGATAACCTGCTGCGTCACCCGTGCACTGGCCCTCGAGTGCTGGCCCAGCATGCCCCTTGCGACCACATTCAAGTCCAGAATCTACTGTTCTCAGGGCTAGCTGCCACAGACTCCTGTCCCTGCACTTGGGGAAGAAGGTGCCTCTCGTGCCACCACCTCTACCTACTAAAATGCCTCCTCCGGTCTCTATACCCATACCCTGTCCTCCTTCAATCCCTGCCCAAGGGCCACTTTTTCCATGAAGCCCTCACCTGCCCGACCAGCTCAGGGTTCTTGGTCACAAACACTCCTTCCCTCCCAAATTCCCAGCTCTGCTGGTGAACTGGGGGGGGACAGTGTCCACGACCCCCATTGCCCCAGTGCTGGACATATAATCCACATGCCATGTGATCCAGTTGCCTAAATATATTAAAAGGAGCCGCACAATCATTGCCACAATAAATTTCAGATCATTTTCTTCATTTTGGTATCCATTATTATGAACTCCCCATTCCTGCCCCCACCTCCCTTGTCATACCCCTAAGGACAGTTATGGTTGCTGAGAGTTACCTATCCTGGATTGCATCTAAAGGGGGAAAAAACCCTCCCACAGCAACAACCATGAAATAAAACACGGAAAAACCTCAATTCAAAAGAAATCAGAAAATCCTGAAAACTAGAACAGGTTGTAAATGGTTCACGAAGGAGAACCAAGCGTCAGATGTTGAATCAGCAGCCCTGGTGGTGAGGCAGTTACATGTTGGGCGCTAACCACAAGGTCAGTAGTTTGAGACTACCAGTTGTTCCAAGGGAGAAAGACAAGGCTTTCTACTCCCGTAAAGAGTTACAGTCTCGGCACCTCACAGGGGCGGTTCTGCCCTGTCCGATCGGACCGGTGGCAGTGAGCTTGGTGTGGTCTGTCCGCAGTAATCTCCTTTGATCATGGAAGGAGTTTTGTCTCCGTGCGTGCTTTGAACCTTCATGTTCTCCTTTCCTGGGTTTTTGTTTTCCGATGGGCAGGTTTGACATCCAGCAAGCAATAGGGGCCCCTTGCTCATCCCAGTAAAGTCGACCAGTATATCGGTACAATCTCACCATGACAATCACGGCTGCATAGTTCTCCACCCTATGGAGAGCTGTGATTTATTTAATCAGCCCTGCTGTCCATGGGCTCTGTCATCATTATCATTGTCTCGTAACTCATGTTACAATAAAGATCCTTGCCCAGATGAACTTGGGCCCTGTCTCATTATTACCTCCCCAGGATCAGTTCCTGACTGCTGGCTTGACACACAGCTCTTGGGCTTTCCTTCCAATCATTTTGTAGAAAGTTTTCACTAAGGTTCTCTATCAGAACAACATCCTCACTCAGCTCAGCGATGGATTGGTTGCTATTTGTTGCTTTGTAAGCACTCTTTACCTAGCAAAGAATAGTAGCCTACTCTCCATGTTTGTTTCGTTCGGGTTCACTTTGGTTTTCAAAGCTATCTGCCCTATCTTTTCTATGATTTCAGCTTTGGTATCCTGTTCAGACACCTTCCGATAATACAAACACTCAGATAGTTTTTGCCTTATCTCTCTCTCTGTAGTTCCTGTCCCATTGTCAGGCTGACATTTTCATCCGTCTTGGTATCCTAATATAAAACCGATCTCGCCTTTTCCTACAGACAAGAAGCACCATGCACTTAGGACAGCCCTCCCAGTTCTTGGCCTTGGCTTGGGTCTAGGACTATGTGTACTTTTCTGTTTGCTGAGCTCCTCTTGTGCCTCTAGGACCCAGAGACAAACAAGTCAGATGGGCCTGCCACCAAGGGGGATGAACAGTAAGCATCGAAACACAAACCATCCAAGCAAACCAGAAGCCATCAGGTGGAGGAGTAAACTGGAAGAAAGTAACCCAGGTGTGGGCAAGACCAGAGGCATCTTCTCTGGAGCAGGAAGAGACCTTTAGCAGAAACCCACAGGGTAAGCAGGTTGTATGAAGGACGGGGAAGGACATTCCAAGGGGCAGGAACAGCATGAGGAAGGCTCAGAGGCACAAAAGCAGGTGTCTTCCTTTTTTGGAGTCTTTTCTAGTCTCCCCTCCCACCCACCCCTGCCCCGGGGTGAATAGCTGCCCCTTCTTCTTCTCACTTTATTCTTGTTACGTATGACCCAGGATGGGGTGATTTCCCAGGCTCCTGTCACAGTCCTGGGTGATTTCCCAGCTCTGTGACACTTCATCAGCAGCCTGTGGTGCTTCTGAAATGTCAAAAAATTAAAATAAAATAAATAACTTGCAAGCGCAGTCCGTGGCCTGGCACAGGGGTTGCCCTCTGCTGCTTCCAAGTCATGGTGGCCCGTGAGCACCAGAGTGGAGCGTGTTTCACAGCACCTTTGACAACGGATCTTTCTGAAGCACAGTGTCAGGCCTTTCTCCCAAGGCACTTTTGGATTTCGAACCACCCAGCAACCAAGCTCCTTAACCCCCCGTGTCTCCCAGCACATCCTACTGAATAAGCACCCCATTCCTATGAGCTAAACAAATGAATATGTACGTAGCAGATGGAGGTCTCTCTGGAGCCTCGTAGGAGCCACTGAGCACTTTACACAGCAATCCCGTTTCATCTCCACAGCTCGGCTGTGATGCCTGCCTCTGACAGCAGAGGAAACCGGCTCAGGGAAGCTAACTCCCAGGTCTGCTTGATCCCGGCTTGTCCCTGGTTCCAAAGCTCACAGGTCTCCATGGAGCCCTAATTTAATGAGGAGCCCTAGCGACGTGATGGTCAAAGCACCGAGCCACTGACCAAAAGGATGGCAGTTCGAACGCACCAGCTGCTCCCCGGGAGAAGGAGGTGGCAAACTATCTCTGCCGAGATTCACGGCCTTGCTAACCCGATGGGGGCCGTTCTACTCCGCCCTCTGGGGTCCCTGTGAGTCGAATCACCAAACAGCAGTGTGTGTGTGGTGTGTGCAAACCAAAGAGGCTGCGTGGGACCTGTGTGCTTCTGGCCAGTACCGGCCCCCATCCCTGTCCAGCCCCGGCCCTTAGCTGACTGGCTTTGGTGTCCTGGGCACCAAGGAAGGGAAGGCTGTTTTCTTTTCTTTTAAATGACAAATGCATTACATGCCCGTGGAAAAGAAGAGAGGAAAAGGCATAAGACAAGGAATAAAAGCAGGAGGGGAAAAATCCATCCTCCTCCCACTCCCCAGGATAACCACTGTTAACAGTTAGCTCTGTTGTTCCCTCGAACATCCAACCCCGTCTCCACATCCGCACGCCCAGCGGTCCTGTGGCAGTTACTGTTTGAATGGAGCCAGATCCTTGACTTTTTCCATCCAGCCAGTTCTCCTTCGGCACCTACAGACCTTCCTCCTTCCACCCTCCTCTGTCCGACCATGGGTGCTGATTTCTTTACCCAGGCCCCAGGCGTGAGCACCAGCCAGCTCCACACCGTCTCTGGCCGAGCTTCCTCCCTGGGCCAGCCCAGGGGCCCGGGGGCCTGGGCCAGACCGCCGCCCAGTCGGCTAGTGGCTGGGGGAAAGGCCCTGCTGTCTCTCACGTTGACAGGTGTTGCCAGGCTGCCTTCCGAAGGCCCTGCCAGCTTGCACGCGGGGCTGCCTGGCTACATGGGGGAAGGCTTTTAAGCCGAAAGTGATGTGGAGCAGGGCTGCCTCCCCTCCCGCTGCCCGAGACCTGGCATGGAGATCGCCACCAGGAGTACAGACCATGCAGGCCCGCCCGTCTTGGGCTAGGAGATGGATTTTTGATAAAAGAGGCTAAATAACAGGTTTTTCTATTTCACCTTATAGGAATGGGATGGGGGGTGGGGGTGCCAGGCCTCCAGCCAATAGAGGACCAAGAGTTGTCAGGAGGGCTTATAAAGCTTGCTATTTCTGGCATTTTTCTCTTTCTCTGCTGATTATGCAGCAGAATTGCACAGGGGCTGTCGCGGGCGCATTCTCTCATTGCCTGGGCTTCTGTGGAATGAGACTCGGGCGCCTTCTGCTTGCGAGACGCTGGTGCATTGCAGGTGTGGGCTGGCAGAAGGTAAGCAGTGAGGTCCGCCTGGGTGGAGGGGGCCTGGCGGGGCAGGAAGAGGACCTGGGCCGGTGCCCGGCATGAGCTGAGCAGAAGATGCTTTGTAGGGTCCAGGAGGCCTGTTCTTGGCAGCCTCCTTTTGGAGTGGGATTCCGGAGGTTGGCGGGCTTGGCCTAGGGAGAGCAGGGTCAGGCTCTGGTCTGGGTGCTCAGGTGGCACTAGCTGCTCTGTCATTCATTCAGCATGCCCCTCAGAGGGCCTGGCACACACTGGGCGCTGGGGTCTGGCTGATTCAGACTAGGAATGGCCAGAGCTGTGGTGGCAGGAGCTCAGACACCCAAAAAGCAAGGGCAGCACAGCCTTACGTGTGTCTACTTGCTGATCTGTAGTGGACAGTAGTTTCACATCAGAGATGCTGCTTCTAGGGACAGCTGGCACCTGTCCCTCTCCCAGCCCCACAGTGAACCAAAGCCTCTTTCCACATGGATCATCCCTGGCAGGGACAACCCATGTGAAATGGTTCCCTACAGTTTAGTAAGTAAGCGTAAGTCAGCCTGCGCTTACCTGGCTTATTGAGTCCTTTTTCCCTGCCAGCAGAGATTCCCAAGGTGAGGGGGTGCAGATACCTTCCAAGGCAGATGGTGTGGGCAGTAGCGGGAAATGCCCCCAGGTGTGTCTGAGCTGCCTCTTCTGTCGGGTTTTGGAGTTTGGGGCATCAGTAAGAATCCCCCATGGGTAAGCGCCACTTTTTCCTCCCGTCGGGCAAGGGTGTGAGAAAGCCAGGTGGGCTGCCCAGCCTCCACCTTTTTATAACAGGAAGGACACCGGGCAGCCGGGAAGGACACAGATGCCTGTTTAAGGACAGACACTAGAGGCTGTGGAGACTGGGAGCCAGAGCAGAGCATGGATGGCATTCCCCAGCTGGTCCCTGGGAGGTGGCTTTGTTGCACCCATGGGCCAGGAGGCCCCACTTCTCTCGGCACCTCCGTACTTACCAGCCCTCACTGGGAATCGGCAGCTCTCTGCAGGTCTGCCCCAGACACGGAGCGCCCTCTCAAGCCTGCGCTCCTGAGTATGGGGTACCCCACAGGCCCCACGAGGGACCTGTGAACAGCCGCTGCTGGGACTTCCACAGTGGCCTCCACTTTCTCCACTCTGTCCTGGAAGCTCGCAAGAGGCCACAGGCCTGTCAGAGAAGGCTTGGAAGCCAGCCTGCCATGGAGGGGGTAGCTATTCCATGCCTGATGTGTGCCAGGGACTCACCTGGGCACTGCATTTCAATCTCACAGCCACCACAGGCTCCCTCAGTGGCCTAGGGCAGACACCTTGCACCTTCTAGGTCTCAGTCTTTGTGTCTGGAAAATGGATGGTGGTCTCCATTTGATGGCATGTCCAGGTGTTGGTATGCATGTGTGTGTGCGCGCGCGTGCGCGCGCAGTGTCTGACTCTGTGCTTGCATATGGCAAGTGCCTAGCTGGAAAGTGAGCGTGGACAGATGGCTCAGGGCATTCGCCTCTCTCAGCACGGGCCGCCTGGCTCTGGGGCTTCCCACGTGTGTTTCAGAGCCCAGGCTGCTGTTCATGGCCCTCTGTCCAGTCCTGAGTACTTGGCTGCGAGGAGTTCATTGGCTACAGGGGTTTGCTGGCTGAATGACAGGAGTCCTGATGGAGCAATGGCTACCAACAGAAACATTGGCAGTTCCCCACCCAGCAGTTCCACGGGAGAAAGACGCGTGGTTCTAGTCCCATAAAGATTGCACCCCAAACACCCTGTAGAACAGTTCCAGTCTGTTCCATGGGGTCACTATGAGTTGGAATGAACTTGGCAACCCGAACAGCACCTGGCTATACTGAAGCAGAGCTGATCCATCCATCTCTAACACTTCCTGCACACGGGTGGCCAGTGTCCCCTTGAGGTAGCTGCAGGACAGTAGCCTTAAAACAGGTGTTGAGGCTGCCAAGCCTTAGGCTGAGGAGAAAGCTTTGGGAGGGAGGGTGTGTCCTTGGGAGTAGGGTGTGGCCATAGGAGGGTGTCACCTGGGTGGGTGTGGCCTTGGGTTGGGGGTGTGGCCTTGGGTTGGGGGTGTGGTTGGAGCATTGTTCAGTCTACGCCCCATGCCCTGGAGCCTTTTGGGGTCCAGGCTGAGACCTGGCTTGGAGTTGTGGCTCTGTTCCTTGCTTGCAGTGTGACCTGAGGCAGGTCACCTCACCTCTCTGAGCCGGAGTGTCCTTACCTGCAGAATGGTAGGTAGATCATTAGGATTAAATGGGGTAAGGTGCATCGACGTTACATAGATTACTGCTATGGAGTCGGTGAGGACTCATTGTGAGTCTGTGGGACAAAACAGAACCGTCCTTTTTGGATTCCCAAGACTTCAAATCTGTATTGGAGTACACAACTGCCGCATCTTTCTTCCACGGAGCTCAAACCATTGACCCTGTGGTTACTAGCTCAATGTGTCAGCAAGGTAAGACACAGTTCTTTAAACAAGTAAGCCCCGTGCATTGAGGGGTTCCAACTCATAACAACCCTGTAGGACAGGTAGGACTAGCCCTTTGGGTAACCAAGACTGTAAATATTTACTGGCGCAGAAAGCCTCCTCTTTCTTCCATGGAGCCACTGTTGGGTTCAAACTACCGACTTTTTGGTTAGTAGTTCAATGCCACCGGGGCTCCTACTCACTGCCATTGGGTTGATACCAACTTCTAGGTTTCCAAGACGATAACTCCATGGGAGTAGAAAGCATCATCTTTCTCCTTTGGAGCAGCTGGCGGCTGCTGATCTCACAGTCCAGCGCATAACCACCACACCACCAGGGCTCACGGGGCCTCCAGGGGTGGCTCAAATGGTTCATATGCTCAGCTGTTCACCAAAAAGTTAGAGGTTTGATTCTGTCTAGAAGGGCCTCTCCAGACAAACCAGCCGTTGAAAACCCCAGGGAGCACAACTCTCTGATACCCCTCCCAACCCCACCCACCCCACAACCCGCCCTGAGGAACTGTGAGTGGGGCTGAGACCCTGTGCTCACAGAGTACTGATGTGAAGAAAGAAAGTGAGCTGCAGTGGGAAGCCGGCTTCCAGGGCTCATTCTGCCACGTATTTGCTGTGTGATCTTGGGCAAGTCCTTTGCCAAAGTTCTCGCCTCTGCCTCCAATAAACAATTCATGCTGGTGCCAGCGGTGCAGTTACACGTTGGGCTGCCAACTGCAAGGCCAGCAGTTGGAAATCACCAGCCGCTCCACCGACTTTCTATTCCCTTAACGAGTTCCAGTCTCGGAAACTCAGAGAGGCAGTTCTGCCCTGTCTCAGAGGGTCGCTGTGAGTCAGAGTTGACTCCATGGCAGAGATTGGGTTTTGGTTTGGCCCCACCAGGTCCACTCTTCAACTCTGGGTTGGAAACCAGGGTGTGTGGGGAAGGATGCTTTGGGGTGGAGATCAGTTTCCTTGATGCGTAGCATCTGGGATGATGTTGTACCCTCCCCGCCCCCGTGCTGCCTCTCGATGGAGTTGGACTGAGAGGCAGAGAGGCAGTGGTTCTCAAGGAGGCAGCCTGGGATGTGGGAGGCTGCCTCATTTTGGCACCCACCGTGACTGCCTTGGGGTGGCCTCTAGGACCTTGGGGCTGCCCAGGAGTCACCATCTCTGCCCAGCAAGGACCCACGTGGACAGTTGTGAGCACAGCCTCAACACATCACAGATGGGGAGAGGAGGCTGTAGCTTCTCCCCTTCCCCTGCCCCTCAGGTGCCCACCCCGGGGAGGGTCCTAGGACCTCCTGTTGGTGGGTGTTTGGAGAGGAGCACTGAAATAGGAGCCGGCTGGGCCTGGGTTTTAGTCTGGGCTCCTTGGCTTCTGGCTGTGGGATGTCAGGCAGCGCTCCTGCCCTTTCAGTGAAGAACCGTGAAGGCCACGGGCGCAGTGCCCTGGAATCAGGGGGAGGAAGTGTAGTTCGGAGGTCTGTGAGCGGCTCACACCGTTTGCCACTAGGAGCAGTTTTCAACGACTAACGTGATGGTTGGCTGTTCGAACTCAGCCGTGGCACCATGGGCGAACGCACCAGTCATCTGCTTCTGTAAAGATCACAGCCAAGACACCCCACTGGGGCGGTTTCTGAGCCGTCCCACGTGGGGCTTGGGAGGATTTATTTGCCCTGAGCGGGGACTGAGGAGACAGCAAGGGGTTTGTGTGGGCTTTTTTGGTTTCATACAGAAAGGCAGCTCTGATGAGCATGACTTCTCCCCCAGAGGGTTCCTCTGCAAGGACCCAGTGGATCATTCCCCGCCCCCAGCGTGCCCCTCACCCACCTCAGTCCATTGTACCACTGTCTGCCCCTTTGCTTAGGTCACATCCTCAGAGCCATCCTGATCTCTCCCCACATCCAACCTACCTGTCGCTGCTGCTGCTGGCTCTGCCCGCAGATCTCTTTTCCCTCTCACCAGGGTGAGGACTGAAGCACCTGCCTGCTCTCTTCGAGCCCATCCCTCCCAGCAGCCAGGGCATCTCTGCACCACCTGGTGTGCATACCCCTCACCTGCTAAGATGGCGCCCTCTGCTGGAGGCTTCCCGCAGCCTTCAGGATCTGTTCCCACGCCCTTCGTGTGCACACACCTGGCGAGCCACCTTGTCTGGTGGCCCTCCTTTGTGCTGTCAAGGAGCCAGCTTCCACCCACCTCAGCACCACTGCCCTGCAGCTTGCTGCCTAAGGGCCTCTCCCCAACTGACCACTGTGATACCTGTTAACCCCCTGGTCCTGAACAGAGCCCCTGTGTGGTGTCCATGGTTAATGCGTGGGAGGTTCGAGTCCGGCCAGAAACCCCCAGGAAGGGCAGATGATGGAATTCTAAAATATCAGCCACCAAAAACCCGGTGGGGTCCGATTCTACTCTGACACCCAAGGAGCCACGATGAGTCGGAACTGCCTTTGGGGAAGCTCTGTGTGGGCCCCAAATCTGCTCCCTGGAGCCCAGGGTCAGGCCCTTCCTATACATACGTATGGACGTGTGTATACGTG